GCCCTAGGTGATCCTGCTCTGGCAGGGGGGCTGGACTACATGATCTCCAGAAGTCCCTTCCAACCCCTGACATTCTGTGATTCTATGATCTTGCCACCCCTACCCAGCTGCTTTCTCTCTGACCATTAGAAGCAAATTTATCCTCCCAGCCTCAGCTTATGACTGACTTTACAGATGCTTCTGTCATAGCACCAATGAACAGGAATAACGATCTGCTTCACAGTCACCACCCCTAAACTGCATTAAAAGTGAAAAACCACACGGGGAAAAAACCCAAACAAGCAGGACCACAAGTAAGACTAAGAAATACACCACGCAGCATTTCTCTAGCAAAGGGTATTCAGCCGCCTCACTGACACAAGGAGGAGTCAGGCAAAGCAAACATTACCAAACCCACCACTGGAGCACACCAACTCCTTAGGAGGATTGAAACCACAAAGAAACCCTCCAGGCAGACACACAGAGTGTTCCCACATAACAGGATCACACTGACAGTCAATGCAGCAGAAGCTAACAGCAGTGAGCTCTTTGGGGAGCAGATATGGGACAGAAGCGAGTTCACACAGAATACCTCCACCTCGGGGCAAAATAAGTTCTAAGCATTCTTCACGAAAAGAAGAGGAAAGTACACTCAAACTGCCTGAAACTGAGAGCCTTCAGCTTTGATATCCTTCCGTAAGAGCAGCTATCACACGAGTTAACGGTCACTGTCAAATGCTGCCTCAAAGCTTCCAGAAAAGTAAGATGTTCAAGCTGTATTCAAGCAAGAAAGTAACGGCTAATCTATTAAAGCCAAGGGGAAAATAACTTTCTTCCAGATGGTAATCATGCAACAGAACTCCTCAAGCAAGTTTACAAACTCTGTAATTGAAAAGCTGGAGAAGAAGCCAGCCCACAGCAGAAAAGATGTGGAGAGCCAACTATGGGACTTCAGGCAACTTCCAAATTCTTGCTACTACTTCTTTCTCAGGCACAGTAGCAGCACGAACACCACCCAGCACAATGTTTAGATGGGCAAGACAGTAAAATTGACACATTAGATTCATAAATGATACTTCAAAAGAGACGATTCCAAAGATATACTAGGCAAAAAGCTGAGCTTGTAGACCATCCAGAAGGAAAAGACCCTCAACTGATTCCTCAAAGATCAGTTCTTGCCCTGATCCTGTTTGATTTATTTGCAAGTTATTTGTCTCCAAGAATCTCAAGAATCTTCAGTTAGATGCCATCTTGTCTAGCTTTAAAAGACAGATTTTAGAAAAAACCCTGAGAGCAGTTGAACAGATACAGCTACTGAGATAAATCAGACTTAAATTCTTCATAAAAGACAATGAATTTGGCTCGACTATTACAATATTAAACATTAGATGCAGTAAATCTCCAAAATTTAGTAAAGAAATACTTAAACTCATCCCTCTGGGCTGTCCTCTTACACCACAGCTTAAGTGACATTCCGATTGTTTTCTACAGTTCTGTAGTAGAAGTTACACAGTTACCTTTCAAATAACAATGCCATCAGTTCTTAATGTTAATACTTGTCTCTTAATTAAAAGTAACATAACTACAAAGCAAAAAGCCAACTCTGCGCTTACACGCTAAAACTGCTTGCAAGCACAAACGTACACTCACCCACTCACACTTTCCTTTAGTCTCTGTGGTTGCCCAAAGCGCTGCTTGGTGGCCAGCCAAAGCACCGGGGTATGGAGCTGGGCTCACATCCAGCGCATTTAGAAGTTTCAGTGATGTTCATGCAGAAAATACCCACAAGGACCTTCCTTTCAGATTGTATATAGTTTGTAGCCTTTGAAGATCTCGACCATGTCCCGTCTTTAGACCTCCAACAGCGCTGTGAATTCTCAATCCCACCAGTATTGCTCTTCCTCTGATCTTGAGTGTTGGACTGGCCTGACCTTCACAAAACCATTGTTTGCCAGCCAGATCCCATAGATTGTTGCTGTTCAACAAACATTCTTTAAACAAAGCACTTCTTTTCTTATTAACCATGTAGTGCTCCTAACAAACACAAGGAACCATTAAAAACATAAAAGCATTTATCTGCCCAAATTTCAAGGTTGTTCTGACCTCGCATATTCACTGCATCTCTTCACAGCCAGCTGGGGGAAATGGCCGTTTCTGTGCCGTGACTCGCCAGCTCCAGACAGATTAAGTTGTATCCCACAGATGCCATTTCCCCCCACACTGACTACGTCTAGACACTTACAATTAGATGAGGAATCTCACTTTATGCGACTCATCTTCTCCAACATCCTGCCCCTTAAGTAGAGGGGTTATATTATAGCAAAAAGAACTCAGTGACTGAAATCCCACATGGCCCATAGATCACCTCAACAACAGGTGTTATTACACTAGTGAGGAAAACAGGAATGAGCTTTTCTTACTACAGGAACTCCTTATGCCAGCTGTGAAAATGCTGACCAAAAGAACAGACTAATTTAGGTTAGACAGCACTTCTGGAGGTCATCATTTCTGTAGACCGTTCATACTTTTCCACTGTAAGTCTTCAGGAGGATGTAGCCTCTTCCAAAATAACAGCCATTACCAAGAAAGACTGAGTTGGACTCATATGTAGGAAACCCTGTTTTTCAGGTAGTAGAATATTTGAAAACCTTTGGTCCCTTAAGGTTAGTGATCTCCAAAATAGCTTGATTACTGGGCAATGACACCAGAAGCAGTAGTAGCACACATAAGATGTCACCAGACTACAGAAGAAGTATCTCCTCACTGATGGGAAATACTGGAAGGGACACTCTCCATTATGATATATGGGACCATCAATCTTATAAGCCCTTCTGGAAATGCTCTCTCAAGTAAACATCTGTGAATGAGAAGG